ATGGATTTAAAGAAACCAGATCAAAATCACGTTGCTCTTTTGTACACCACAGCCCCAGGTCCGGAGAGAGAACCGACGGAAGAAGAAATAAACAGTGGAAAAAGAGAAAAAAAAAAGTGTAGATTATAGAAAATAACCTTCTTTTTCTCTCTTTTTTCTTTCTTCTTATTAAATATGACGTCTAGTGCACCGACGAGTATACCAACTGAACAATACATAAAAAAAACATGCGAACAATGTAAAAGAAGAAGGCGTCCCTGCAACTCTCAGCGACCTTGTACACAATGTGTCGAAGCAAACCAAGACTGTGCCTATAGTGTTGTTCATGATCATTCTCGAAGTGTCTTTTCTACCCATGCAGCTAGACGGCTTAGTTCTGGTTCAGCCTGTGAAACTTGCCGAAGAAGAAAGACAAAATGTGATGGAGGCAGTCCATGTGGGTTCTGTGCGTCCAATAATATCGAATGTGTCAATAATTCCGAAAGAAGACATTTAAAAAACAAGCAACCATCAGTAGAAGCAATGGATAGAATTGAAGATAGACTTCGAAGGATCGAACGGCTGATGACAGCATTTACTCCAAGCCCACTGACTCAATCATCCTCAGAAGGTCATAAGGTCAGGCCACATCGTCATTCTGTTCAAGGTGTAAACTCTGCTCGAGAAAAAAAAGAAATTCAAGATAGACGAGGTAGTGAAAAGATGTATATAAAAGACTAGAACTAATGTACTCATAGGATCTCCTTATTCATCACGATTCGGATCACTCTCTCCGCCACCGTCTTCTACTCCTATATCTATTATGCGACCATCTAATTCACACAGTAGTAGCATTGCACACTCCATGTTAAATCTATCCATTTCACCATCTAATTCTTCTACACTTCTTGCAAGCTCTTCTTCTACACCTTCTTCATCTGGTATCTGGCTAGAATCATCACCTAATGGTAAAAATGAATACTTTAGAGATCATTTACCTAGTCCTCCTGTCTCTTCAAGAAGCGAAAATGAATGGAAGATTTCGACGATACCAAGCGTCATGGGTACAGTGAATATCGATATTTGATTACATTCATACTTATTCGTCAATAGATCAACTATCAAAACGTACCTTTGCTACTACTACAAGTGATTATGCAAGCACTCAATTCCCTATTTATCCACTGACGCCTCCTCCCAGTCAACAAAATAAATAAAAAGTTTTGGCGTACTTACGCGCGTCCTGATTTTATTTTTTTTACGTGACCCTTTTTTTTCGTTATTCTTTCTTTCTTTCAGAAAAAATGAATGATCGCTGTCCTTCATGTAATTCAAAAGAGTTAAGACATGAAGATTGTTTAGCGTAAAGTATATATTTATATACAATTATATCATACGATATAAGCTCACTTTATATACATATATATGTGTATATCAATAGTCAGTGTAATAGTTGCTATTACTCATGGATCTACAAGAAATCAAATGCGATTGAGGACTTTGACATGGACGACTTGTTTGGAAACTTGGACGATATTATACCCGCTAAAAAACAAAAGACAGTTGAAGAGCCAAAGACAGTTGAAGAGAAAAACGAACAGATAAAGCCATCGATACCATCCACAAACAATAAAGACACTACAGAAAAGTCGATAGCAGCAACACAAAGAACAGAATATATACCAAAACAATCTGAAAGAAAGCAGTCAAGTGGTATGTTTTCAGATATGGATGACGATGACGATGAAGAAGACATGGAACCGTCACTGATCATCAAGAGAAAATCGATGAGATCACAAGCTAAAAAGACATATTCTATGCTTGACAATAGTCATAATAACAGTGATGATGACGACGACTATATTGAACAAGAAGGATATAGTGAAGATGAAGATGGAGAATATAAATTTATGGATAACTCCAGTCAATTTGATGAACCCACGGACGAACTTGCCAATTCAGAAGATGAAAAGAATGACTATGAGATCTATGAACGGAAACCAACTTCTGGTGCTTCATTGCAAACGAGTAGGATCAAAAGCAGCACATTAGAAACTAAACAGAGAAAAACTGGAGCCAAGCCGACGAATCGATATAATCCATTTATATTATTTAACAAGGAGATGAGAGCAAAGATCAAAGAGGAGCATCCAGAGTTGGACAATTATGAACTAAGCCGAATCATTGGACAACAATGGAAGGAATTGGATCCAGTAAAAAAGTTTATTGAAAAAGTATAAAGTATAAATATACTCAGTCTTTTAAATTAGGAAAAAAAGCAAGCATATCAGATATTGTCTAAAAGGAAAAGAGAGGATTATAGGAATAAAGCGATTCATTTCGCTAAACGGCCTAAACCACCACCTAATGTTTGGATTGTATACTTTAAAGAACAAGTGCCTATCGTAAGAGCTAATAATCCAAAATTGACAGTGAATGAAGCAAGTACAATTGTGTCAGAGAAATGGAAGTCATTATCAAAAGAAGAAAAAGATGCATATAAGAATAAAGCACAAGCAGCAAGGGATGAGTTCAGAAAAATGTATCCAGAAGAGAATAAGGCGTTCTTTGATCAAGTGTCAAGAAAGGTACAAAGGACAAGATTTAAAAATAAAAACAATAAAAAATAAATTCATTCCCCTTCTTTTTCTTTCTCTCTTTTTTTTTTTTTTTCTTAATGCTCCAAATAAATTACTATAATAGATTTGTATTATTTCTATTATTTCTATTATTTAATTCATCGCAGTCTCAATACCTCGGCTCGATACAGACAAACGTACCTTGGAGAGCTGGTCATGCTTCAAGTAATATAAAAAATAAAGAGAGAAATTATATATCATTTATTTATTTTATTTTATTTTTTTCTTCTATAGGCTTCATTTACCCATATGTCATTGTCTATGGCGGTTCACAAGATTCAACAGCTAATTATAGTACAACTTCTTTATCTGGATCAACTGAACTTTGGGTTTGGGATTCACGAAATGGTTCATGGTACAATCCCAAAGTTCAAGTTCAGAATGGAATAGAAATGCTTCCTCAGATTTACATTCGAGCCACCAACTTACCAAGTCAAGGACAACTCTTAACTTGGGTCAGTAATACAACCACCACCAATGTCTTACAAAAATTAGATATAAATAGTTGGACCTGGAGTTTTCCAACTACAAGTAAGCCCGAACTTGCTCAATACGAGACAGGGTGAAAAGAAAACGATCTTTAATCATCACCTCCTCTTTGTGTATGATGTTTTTTTTTTAGACTTTCAAGCTGCTGCTGCCAAAGTATCTGGATATTCTATGACAACTGTCAACAATACTGTTTATACCTTTGGCGGTCTATCAGTCAATAATAACGGATTTCCAATTATTAATGCCGTACAGAATACTTTATCCTTTATAGACGCGAGCTCATTTCAGGTGTCGACAGGCTCAAATGGTTTAGGTTTAACTGATCATACAATGTGTTATATCAAGAAAATGAACTCACTGATTACCTTTGGTGGTTCAACAACGGGTAATCCAGCAGACGTATCTGATGTAAGCATCATTGGACAGATTTGAAAAAAAAAAAAAAGACATACGACTCATTTTAAAGTAAAAGGCTATCAATATATATAATCTAAGTACTCGAACTTGGAATGTACAGGGATTAGCGACATCTATCACACCCGGCGGAAGAAGACTGCACACAGCCAATTGTTTTGACGATTTCATGATCATCTTTGGCGGAGGATCAACACAGCCCTTTGACTCGGATGTATGGGTATTGAATGCAACCTCATATCCAAACTTATTTTGGGAGCGAAAATCAATAGCTAATACAGTAGATGGTCCTAATCCTAGGATGGGTAATATGATAATGGGTATTCACTATGTAAGATGTTCATTGTTATCTTTGCTGTGTAGGTCATTCAACTGTATTGGATAATGAAAATAAGAAATTATACATTTTTGGTGGATGGGGTGTGACAGCAACGAATGATTCCAATATGTACGTATTGGATGTCAACAACTGGAGCTGGACTAAAGTGAAGACTACAGGCTATCCTAATCTCAACCCGCCTCCTTCAACAAACACCACAATTATACCGCCTTCTCCCACTGCGGGATCTGATAGTCACAGTAAGACAGGAATCATCGCGGGTGCTACGGTAGGTGGTATCGCATTACTTGTCATAGCTGCCTTGGCCTTATTCTTTTTCTTGAGAAAAAGAAAGCGTGAAGAGACTAAGGATATAAACAGTTCTTCTATTCAAGACGAAGATGAACAATTTGTTGTAGACACGACCTCATCAACACCTAAAGAGTACTATTATAACCACACGAACAACGCCACCGGCCGACCGCCTTATCGAATGTCTAAAGCATGGAGCAGTACATCCTTTGCTAGGCATTCCGAGATTGGAGATTACTCAGACAAGGTAGTAACGGGTGTATTAGAAGCCATGAGTGACGACGGCACGATGGCAGCGACACATGGATCTCAACGTAGCGAATCATTTCGACATTCCAAGGTCCTCCTTGTCTCAGATGGTCAGGTACCTAACGAGATCACCGCTCAAAAGCCTAATGAATTTTCGATGGCCATAAGACGTGATCTTCATCAACACAGACTGGTTGATCATCACCGTGCATCATCTTCATCGCAGCCGATGCCAGGAGAAGGGGATGACGAAAACTGGACATTTGCAGACTCATTATCGCCCATACAATACATCAACAATTCATCGCATCAACTAAGTACAGCAACCACATCGACTCAGACATGGGATACAACGGAAGCAAGACGACGTCAACAGATACCACTCACACATCACCAACCATCATCTGTCATCAGCATGCCCGTCATCGCGCAGACTGTGACTCAGCCCCCTGCATCGCCCCCTCCAACAAGCATTGATTCAAAACCATCGACACAGCAAGTGGATATGTATCGTAGGATGAGTCCGTTGGATGTACTGGCGTCTTTAGGCCAAAGCCACGATCCGAACAACACGAATAATAATAGCAGTAGTAGTAATAGTAGCAGCTCCGGAAGTCTACATGAGTCATTTACAATTTTGAAACAATCTACTAAAGGGGTGACGCCGCCATCCACATCGTCATCTATATCGGATCATCACCATTCGCATCCCAAGTTCTTGATGCCCATTCTGCTGATGCTGCCCAAAAGATATCAACTCGACAGCTCTATTCGTCCGATCATTGGCCCGTCTAATGTGATCCTGTTTGTGAACAATATAGAAACGAACCAGCCATTGGCAATCAAGCTGTTTGGTCGTCGAGAAGCGTGGGAGAGGGAGTGTCGCACATTGGTTAAGCTGAAATCACCCTTCATGGTGGATCTATTGGAGGTACTGACGATGCAAGCAAATGAGGATGCGGATCAGGAGGACGATGTCAAGTATGCCATTGTCATGGAACGACTGGATGAGACAATTGTTAACTTTATGCGTAAAACAGACGTACAATCTCGAACCGTTGTCAGAGATGTCCTACAGGCTCTTGCTTGGTGTCACAGTAGAGGCATTGCCTTTTGTGATTTGAAACCTAGCAACGTGATGCATCGTTTTGGAAAAGAGTGGAAGTTGATTGATTTTGAAGCAAGTAGGACGATTGGAGAAGAGTGTGTGGGAGTCATCACGCCTCGTTACTGTGCACCCGAGGTGGCCAAGGCAACGACATACGGATTAGAAGGAGCTAGTGGTGTTGTAGCAACTGCTAGCGTCGATCTATGGTCACTTGGATGTCTTTTATATGAGCTAGAAACAAAGAGAGCGTTATTCCCGAATAATATCAAAGATGAAACCATTCTACATTTCATATCCCATCCTTCACCATCAACGCCCGCGCTCAATAACGGACTCAGGTGGAACGAAGAAAGAGAACTGGACATACCACAGTTAGATAGACTTATACCAAATCAACATACACGTCATGTCATCAAGACACTGCTGAGTAGGGATCCTCTTCAGCGTGGATCTGCTCAACAATGGCTGGTAATGTACTAGTAGATGAATACGATGATGAAACTTATTTTTTATTATATATTATAGCAAGATCCTTATTTCAATTAGAGAGAGTTATGTCAGCTTTACATTACTAAAATCCATTTCAGGATGCTGCTTCTTGAAGTTTTCAAACATTTGCTGCTTCTTTAATGTATCGCTATCTGGTAAACCCATTGCTTTTTGACGTTGGTCAAACTATATAACAAATAATAAATAAATACAAGTACAACAAACAACACTATATATTACCATCATCTTTTCAACCATAGCTCTTGTCTCTCCATCCAAGTCACTCAACTTGGAATTCTCTGGTTGAATCCTTTGTGTGTTGATCTTGGGCGCGCCCTTGACCACATTTTCCCACCACTGCATCTGGTTTACTTTTTCGAGGTGAACGAGTATTTCCTTTTGGTCTTCAATAGTCCATGTGCTATCGTCTACTTTTACTGATTGACACAGCTCACCCTGTCATCATGAGCAATAGGCAATTGTTGTTTTTCGTAGAGCTTACCTCAACAATAGGATCTTGTCCTTTGAGTGCCACTTTGAAATGATTCTTTTTGATATCAACAATGACGTCTCGGCTACGTGTGCCCTTGGGAACCGGAATGGTCACGTCGACATCTTGGAGAGTTTGTTTCCAACTTTATCACATGTTAACTTTGTCCCAAAGGTGCATCTCTTCATGTTTTACCTACGTGTAGGGTAATTCTGCCTGTTCTTTGGCTTCTCTCTCTCTTTCGAGTCTCTCTTGTTCTGTTTCGCGTTCGTCAGGTTTTACGTAATCTTCAGTATCAGACATGACCAAGTTATGAAGAAAAAAAAAAAAGAAGAAAAAAGGCGGATATTAAAAAGCGTTTGTGTGTGCGTGGTTGCATTAGTTATTTTTTCTTTTTTTCTTTTTTCTAGAAGAATCAGCCCCTTCCCTTTCCATTTTTATTTCAATTTCTTTCCAATTCATGTGGAGTAAAATGAGTAGGACCTTGACTGATAGACTCTGATACCTCATCATTACGACCTAATGTCCTATTTTGTTGAGCAGGCGGAGGAGGTATGGCAACCAGAGAGGAAGATCGGACACTTGGTGCCTTGATTTCCTTTTTCTCTGCTATTTCGTCTTGTTTTTCTGATAAAGGCTTCTTTTGCTCTATTGGTACCAAGGGTTCCAATGGAAGAGCATTAAAGTTATGTCGATTGAATCGCATGTCTTCGTCATAGAGTTTTGAATGCTGAAGTGAAGGTGCTGGCTGTGTCAAGTACTCATGTGGCATGGCAGTATCCTCTGCAGGTGCCAATAGATTGTATTCATCGTCACTCAGTCGACGTTCCTTTCTTAACTTCATTCGCTTCTTGGCCAACACGACCGTATCTCCTCCACACATAAACACGTTACGAAGGAACTGAGGGATGTATGCCAAAAAGCCATCAATCAATGCCTCAAAATAACCGTGGTCTGGTTCTTCTATTTGATATTCTCTGGCGTCTAAGCCAAAATAGATTTGCATGAGGATAGCAACGACCGTCATGGTCGTACAAATGATGAGCACGTAGTATCCGTTCTTGATAGCCTCTGCTGTCCAATATGTTCCACTAGGTGATCCTGGTGGTCTGTCATGGATTACGTCAAAATAACTAAGGATGGCCAGTAGGATGTCACCAAAGTAAAAGATGACCATGATCGGTGCTTTGACACACCAAAACATGCCATGAGCTCGAATGTTACCGTCTTTCCACTCGTTATCAAATACTGACAGATAGGTGAATAAAGCCATAAGGATGATGGATAAAGAAGTGAATTGAATGATGGCTAGATAGACATAGGCACCCTTAGGATTAAACTGACCATCACAATAGATGCCCTTGAGTTGTGTGATAATCGAGATGAAAGCAGCAATGATATTCCTAACATAAAATAAATAGGGCTGCTAAATAGGAACAGTAAGGTTATTTTACATTGAACTTACCAAATTGGAAATTGAAGTACGAGTATATCCGTGATCACGCGAAAGTGTAAGCCCCATTTTGATTTACTACAAAGAAATAAGCATGTGTCCATATAGAATAAATGACATTACAGCTTAAAGTTGTATATCCCAAATACTTTTGTTGAAACCGCCTCCTTGATTCCTGCATTTTTTTCTCGATAGGGTTGTAAATAGGCTTGCAGACACATATATAGATTATATACAGCAAAGGATTCAAATAATCTAGCAAAGAATAATATCACTGTCTCATAATCATATTTCAGATAGGACAACCAAGCTAACACAGCGTATGCTGCTGGGTAAGCTATCACTCTGACTTTATGTTTCTGTATTTCAGGTGTACAATAGTGGTGAAGGTGTTCGTTAATTGTATGTGAAGCGATCGTTACTGTAACAAGCACTAGAAAGCCTGAGACTAACCAGCCCCAGACGTGATAGTTACTGCTATAGAATAGATGTCAGTCTTACACTGCACACATAAAAAAAAAAAAGAGGTCCCTACTTTGGATTTAATACAAGCTGCTTCAAGTCAAACTCTGGGTTACTTTATTGTATATAAACAGTTAAAGTCTGAATCATATAGTCACTTTATCTTACAATCCGCTTTCACTTAATCCTCCAAGGGTCGGACAATGCTCTGATGACATGTATATATGGGGCGTAGTTATAGAAAAGGAAACGAAAGAAAAGAAACAAGAAAAGCTTGAAAGAGAGATATAAATTTAAACCAAGGTGTAACATTACACATAAACTAATTTTTGAGGCTTGATTGTTATGTGTCTTATGCGCCCTCAAGCTACTGTATTCATCTCTTTCTTTTTAATAATAAAGGTTTAATTATCCCTCTTTCTTTCTTTTTTTCTTTCTTTCTTTCTTATCCCCCTTTTGGTTTTTTTTAATCAAAAGCTTCCCCCTCCCCTTGATCAATAAATTAATTCGCTGTCACTTTGTTCCTATTTTTCCCTTTTTTTTTTCTTTTCTTTTTTTAATTGATGGCAATGAAAGGATGACAAGTTTGATCAAATCAACAGTATTTTCACCTATGCGAGTATTCTTTAGAGTGTCGACATCAATCCCTAGTATGAAGCACGCTCGAGAAATATTTAGAGTCTTGGGTGAATACGGCGACATGATTGAATATAGATTTATAAGAGTAAGGAATTATAAAAGGTGATTTCATTTGTGTACTCAGCATATTCTCTTAGTGTCCAAGCACATTCAGATATCGACAATATGGATTTGTTGTCTATAGAAATAGTCAAGATGCTTATAAGGCAGTAGAAGAACGGTTTATAAAAGTACCACCCTCTGAGCTATTTGATAAGTCGATAGATATTAAAGTGGAACGATCTACTGTCAACAACAAAATTAAATATAGAAAGGAAGAGAATTAGTAAAGGGAAATATGCACCCTTTTTTAGGTTTCCCTTCTTGTTATTAAAAAAGTAACAAAGAATGATCGTCACTCTATAAAGTTGGGTTTAATTTAGAAGAAAACCATGGTGCTGCATGGTTGGTTGGCCCTCCCCCCTTCCTTTGTCTATAGTATTCCCGAGATAAACTATTTAGGAATAAACGACCTTTGCTTTTTTTTTTATTAAGAGAGCTTCATCTATCTATGTTTGATATAAGGGAAAGAAGATAAAATTGGGACATAACGGGAAGCTGCAGGATGTAAACAAAGCAGCTGTACACACACAGACAAATCGATGAAATGCATGAATAAGCCCTGACAGAGAGTATAACCTTCAGTGCGCTCTCTCTGTTTCTCTCTCCGTCTCTTTTTCTTTCTTTATGCTTTTAGAAAAGACACGTGTTGTTCAAAGTGAGAATAAATATTTACGGCAAAAGGTAAAGGTGTCGTGTTGACAAACCAACTAGTACTCTTCCGAATCATAAGAAAAAAAAAAAAAAAAAAGAGAGAGAGAGATAGATAGAGAGAGAGAGAAAGTTTCTCTTATAGGAAGAGCTATTCTATTCCATTCCAAGCGCACCAAATAAAGGAACAAACCATACTTAATTAAATTGTCTGTTTCAAATTACCTCTATTCGCTACTGTGATTATTATTTTAGGCGTATACGAAATATGAAAGATGGTTTAACTAGAATATAGATAAAACTATAGCTATCTCATATGCTATCAAAAGATAGTCTGCTCCCTCAGTTGCGCTCCATCCCTTTTTTTTGGCCCATCTTCATTTCAACTCTTTGGGGGACACCTTTTAAAAGTCCCCCTTAGAAAAGAGGCTCACAGACGTAAATACTGCACATTTACTTATTTCTTCACAACATAAATAGAAACAAATTCTTCTTTCCCTTTTCTTTTTATTTCCTATTTCTTTTCCTTTTCCCCCTATCTGTCATTGTCTTTCAAGATCAATGCTGGCCTGTGCTCAAGATATCTTTTTCACTTCAGATAGTAACACAATGAATCAAAGCAGTGCTACAGATCCATTCTTAGACAGTCAGCACCATAAGGATACGAAGAGACCTAGAATGAAGCATAGTAGTACAATGCAGCACTTACAACATTTAAAACAAGAACATTCATCAAATAAGCATAAAGAAGAGGTTTGTTTTTATAAAAAATCATGAAAACGCTACTTATGAGCATCATTTTCTAATAAAAGCAACAGGTTTGGCCACCTGATGTTGAAGCAGCGTTTATAGAAGGTATTCCCCCTTAGCTTATCGTAGTTAGTGTATCAATTTTTTTTGACCTATAATTTAGCATTAGAGACAATTCCAAAATTGGGTAGACGAAAAATACTAGTGAATGGAAAGCCCTGTGGTAATATCCCTATCGCTCACACCTTTGCCCCTCCTCACTTTTTTTTTTAAATGTAGGAAGGAACGAACTTATCTCTGATTTCATTTTCCGTAAAACACAAAAAATCAGAACAAGAAAACAAGTATCTTCGCATATTCAAGTACTTAAAAATACTCGTAAAAACGATCCTCACTGTAAAGTGTGAATTCAATCCATTCCTTTTTTCTTCTAATCGATATAATAGTTATGAGACTACTCACAGATTCAGTGGATGTCGATGAAGGATTTGCTACGATACAGCAACCAGTGCGCCAGCACCAACGAAAGCCAAGAATGTCCACCTCAACCTCTCGTCGCAGTCAATTGAACAATGCTCAAAAGGCAAAATCCTCACGGCCAGGTGGTTCCATGAGTTCAGACGACTCATCTGTGTCTTCCACACCATCACCTGCAGATTATGTGTTTGACATGGTTTACCAGGATCAACAGAATTCGCTTACGTCCATGCTTGATCTAAAGGACCCGTTTTTTGAACCCTTTTTTAATTCCCTTATTTCATCTTCCACAACGGCTGAAGCAAATGAGGATAACAGCAGCAGCAGCAATATGCCTCTTTTCGACAACAGTCTCTTTTCTCTACAAGATTTTTCAAGCATCTCCACAACTGATGTCTTGCAGCAATTATTTCCCTTGACGAGTTCCACTTCAGAATCTGGACCTACTGTTGTAGACTTGCTTGAGCAGCAAAATTCAATTAATGATTTCTTGACCAGTCAAAAGCAGCAGCAGCAGCAACAACAGCAACCACAAAAGAAATCATTGAAAAAATCAGGCATTAGAAAATACAACAAGAAACAGAAAAATAACAGTTTAAAAACATCACTTAGTCATCCTAATCTCAATCTATTTCAGTCTGTCAATTCATTAGCCACCTCTTCGCTTTCTATGCCTGGGATTGGCATCAACGCGCTTGATCAAGCCGCTGCGTCCACATGGATCGATCCTTCTATCTACCCATTATGGCCAAACTATATATGCTTATATTTAGAATACTCATTACCTTATGATACTTCAGTAAAGTCTTCACGCTATCTATAGTACAAGAAAACTAACGAGTCATTGTAGAGCACCATGCCACATACCTTAGCAGCGATTCCCGAATGTATACCTTCCTATATATCTTCCATTGACAGCTCTTCTGTAGCAAAGGAAAAATGCCCTCCTATTTCAGAACTCACGCTCAGTCCGGCCCTGACGATCCTAGCTGCAAAAGTAAGCCGAATAGACTATAGATTTCTTTGTATTAAATGGTTCATAGGTTAAGCTTAATTTAGGTATAAGCACATCAGATTTTTTCTTCAACAATACATCCTTCTTTGAGACCAGGGATCGTCGCACGATTGAATGCACAACAACGATTTACTCATTTGGCAACGTTGTATTGGAGTCAAAGGAAGTTCAACAAGCTCTGTGGTTAAATGAAGCAAAATACATGTACAGTTTCTCCTACGTTAACCAATTCTTTGATGCATTTATGAAAGGCATCCGCTCCTTACAGTCCTGGGAAGAAGTAGACATTGCTATAAACAATCTCTGTGTGGTTCAGGTAATAAACTGGAACAATAAATTACAACATGCAACTCACACTTTCAAAAAGGTCTATGAAGACGTTGAAACAAAACTAACTCAATCCACAACATCAACAACTTCTCTCGTTTCTCAAGAATTATCAACATCTACATCTGCCGATGTGGCTCTATCAGCCGCAACAGAGGAGCTCATACTGACAGATAATCCAAACACAAGTACTACGTCTGGAACAAATACTGAGAACAATAACATCACTTTACCAGATATTGCTGCTCCTTTACTTGTCATGGTATATGAGTTTGAACGTGGTCAAGGCACCATTGACATTTCGCTAGTCGATACGTCTGCACCTCCCGCCAACTTGAGTGGGAAATAAATTATGCCTCCTTCCTCTCTTTCTTTCTCTCTCTCTTTTTTATGATATATTTATTTGTAATACTGACGGATCCGTTCATCCTTTAAAACAAAATAAACGTTTATGTAAATACTTTTTACAAAAATATAACGTCATTCTATGTCATTTTATAATCAACAAAGATAATCCTACGAACTGGAGGGGTGGTTATCAGCATTATAAGAATGTGAGTCAGTTTATATAAACTAAAGGGGGGGGGAGGATACAGTAGGTGCTATTTAAAAAAGAACCGCCCCTTCTTCTTCTTTTTCTTTTGATGAAAAACCTTTATCCTTTTGATAGCCAGTTCAATACCTTATTTAGCTTGGTGCACATATAAAGCTATTAAAGTGCTTTCAGGAATTTACATCGATGCTATTATATAAAGTTTGATATGAATCACTTTACGTAACTGAATCACATATTCTTTAAGTCACTGATATTGATAGCTTGGTTCGTGTCATTCCTTTAAGATATCAAGATAAAACTACATTCAATTTATTATTATAAAAACGCGCGGGGAGAGAATGGGAGTTTTATGTCCTATACATAAAATGCTTGTTTTCTACATCAGTGAGGTCTTCAAGTTCATCAGGTAGGGCAATGTTATCTGAATTTGGATCCAGGTTCCTCTTTTTGTTTTCTTTGACATATATATATCGAACATAGCCATATAATATAATACAAAGTGCATTAGCTGCAGCATAACCAGAGAGACCAGAAATGTATCTAGGAGCCTCCTTTTGAACGAGCATAAGAGGACCAATGAAGTTGCCGAATGTATAGAAAACAATATTACAGCTGGTGTAAAAGATCTTTTTGGTGTATCCTGACACATTGCTCGATATTGAGGTCTGAAGCAAAATATAGGCTGGATTACAAGCCCAGCTGAGATAAAGCCCTATAAGTTTAACACCCCCGCCAGGAATAGCCGCCAGACAGATAACACCAGCCATAGAGATAGTGCACGCCACCATGGCTACATAGATGACCTCGTTGTACCGTCTACTAATTGTAATTAAACAGGCCACCAAGATAATAGAAACCGCACCGCCAGGAATATTAAGAAGAACAGAATTTCCAGAAGAAAATCCTAAATCTGAGATAATGAGCGCACTGAACGTAACCAATGCGCCATTCTGCAAATTGACAAGTAGAGAAATTAAGCAGTAGCAGTATAGGCGAGGTTCTAGCAACGCCTCTTTGATATGGCTGTAGTTGATATGAAAGGTTCGAACAACGGCGTTATCTCGTATACGTTCCTCCACAATTGTGCATTCTTCACCTGACAAGCGGAACCATCGGGAATAAGGTGTGTCTGGTAAGAAAAAGAAAAAGATGAATCCAGCGAGAGCAGTAAGACTACCAAAAATAATCATGTTCCATTTCCAGGGCGATATATCTCCTACTGTAGGCATATACCCTATAGCATAACCAAGAACACTGCCCAGGATGCCTGCAAGTCCATTGCTCATAAACATCACTCCAAACCATAGTACTTGCTCAGATCGTCTGTAAAATGTGGATATTAGTAGGAACATGCTGGGGTATGTGATGGCTTCAAAGAAACCGAGTAGAAATCTCAGCGCTGCCAACTGGCTAAAGTTTTTGGCTAGTGAAGTGCAGGCTAAACATGCTCCCCAGAGAATAAGAACGGTGCCAACGTAGTGTGCTGTGGGTAGTCTCTGGAGTAAGTAACTGTTGATAGGTTGCATGCAAAGATAGCCCAAGTAGAAGATGGATCCAAGCCAGCTGAATTGTGATCGGTCTATGTGGGTATCTTGGAAAAGACTATACACGCCGGCTACAGTAAGGGTGGACTTGTCAACAAACTGGATGATTGCAATGAGTGTATTTTTCATTAAAGAAAAATATCAATGATTTTACCTGAATAAAGATGATAAAGACGACAAATGGCATGAATGTGTAATTAATCTTTTTAACTAGTTTTCTCTCTGCTGGTGATTTGGTAAATTCGTGTTGTCGATTTCGCTCTTTGGTCACAAAGCTTGAAGCATGGCTATTTTTTTCCACATCTTCAATATTTGACGTACACACCTTTTCTTGTTCCATTTCTGCCCAATATTTTTGCATTAAGGACACAAAAACTGTCTTGCTATTTATACTCAAATCGGGGAACTGAAGTAACACAGTTGAACTCTCTCTCCGTGTGTGAATCTACAAAACTTTACTTTTTGTCCATTATGAAAAATTAGACTACATATATATATCAAGGGGACGAGATCATACATTATAGAAACCTTCTTTTATTTACTATATACTGAATGTGCTTTAGAAAGAGAGTATCCTAAACTACAATTTCAATACACAAGAACATTACCATAGCGGTCTATTATATCTATAAACTGAGTTTACCAAAACGGCAAAAAGTCGCCTTGTCATTTCGCAATCGTTGTCACCGTTTTAATTTATTTTATAAAATTTCCCATCATCTGTAAATGTAAATATCTACACTTAAAGCTAAAACAAAGAATAGAAGCGGTTATAGACTATTTCAAGCTTTCATTCTCAGTTGTAAAACTGCTTCTTGTAACTTAAATAGACGCGTGCGCTAAAAAAGGGATATCTATTAGTCATGATCGAAACCATGGACAGATCACTATATTCTTTATTTCACCAAGGCTATCATTCGGGTTAAAAACGACACCTTGAGAAAAAATAAAGTCAACATATGACTAATAGTTAATCTATCTTTTTCCCCCTGTCTATCGAAACTTTGGACTATCATTGTATGGATATCATTGGTTGCGTTAACCCATAAATATGCAAAAGATAACTATGTATGGTGCTACACAAGATAATGTATCATCAAATGGAAATACTTGAAGGAATGATATGAAAGACCACTTCTCTCATATATTCCAATGTGTTGCTTTCTCTAAAATCTTGTAATGTATTAATGATATAAATATCGATTGCCCATGGTTCACATCAGTAAGACCATTTTAACAGCAAGTCCTTCGTTTTACTTTTAAGCTAGAATTTGCCGCTATAAAGCGCATATTCTTTATCGCTTATCACAAGGCCATTGCTATCGTCTTTTTTTTTTTAAAAAAAAAATTAAAGTAGATATAAACAAATCTACTTGACTTGACTGCAGTCCATGTTGGTAAACTCCATTACTTTATGGTCTTTATAATGCAATGACAGAGATGGAGAAGGGAGTAGATGAATATACATGATACTCTAGGTGTGTGACATATGGTTTAAAGAGATAAGTTATTTGATTAATCGATATAGAAATTGAGGAAGCCACAAGTATAACATTTGATCCTTTTAAGGAATGAATCGTTGCTACTAGATCTGCTGGATACAATGGCATGTAATGCACCTGGATTGATGAAATGAATATAGGATAGAAAATATGACATAAAGTCACAATAAAAAGCACGGTCGACAGTATATTACTAATTACAAAGGTAGACCTAAAGTTCAACCTTATATGTATTGTATAATCAAATGAAAGGAAAGCTTCATAGTCTTATAAGATGTTGGAACATATGAGAATCATGTAATAAAATATTATTTTTTAATAGTTTTTTTTTCTTAGAGGGTAATATCCGACAAGAAGCGGCCCCGTGCCATAGTCAAACGTCAGGACTGGCCATGATATGACGCTTTACTCATAGCACTCTACTTTCTGATAATTCAGCCAAAGATATCGTCCCGCAGGATAATGAACCGAGGCTCATCTGACCAAATGATGCCTTTCCACTAACACATTGTCTCTTATGATCTTTAGCCCATCAACACCTCTTGCGCATACGAACGCTTAAGGACAAAAACTTATGGGATCCAAAAGCCCTTTCTTTATCAAGCAGTCTTTCATAGTATTCAGGGAGATCTAAAGATTTGCCCAAAGGAGGTAAGCGAAAGGCTCCCTTTGAGTTTCGCTTTACACTGAGAACAAGAGTAGTTTTGTTTAGTCTGTTACAGCTTTCAAGTTGAGAAGAAACTTTTTTGCACTTCTTAATAATACTCTTCATAATCCACTGAGGAAAACAAACAAGTCCTTAATCTTGCCGTAGCCACACTGGCGGCTTCTTTCAAAGGATGATAGCACTTTGCACATGTTAGGAACATTGCTTTGATAATTTTTAAAAGACATGTTAGATTTCCTATAAAATATAATAAAAAGTAGAGAAAGAAAAATATATGCTTCTTACGTCTTTTTTATTCCCTTTTTTGTGTAAAATCATTTATTGGAAGGGTGCATTATTCATGTCAAATTTTTACTCTTGTAGGAATTAATATTTTCGAAATCTCTTTTCAAACAATGGATTGTGTATTAAATACGGCATGAAATAAACGTGAGTTCATTCATTCAAGCTGATTTCCCATCCATTTGAAAGACTAAATCACGAGAAATGAAATGGAATATGGGCTTTGGTAAAAAAAAAAAAAAAACGTAAACTCTCTTTTTGTAACGGAGTGCTTGTATTTTTTTTTTTTTTTTTTTTTTTTTGCCTTAACAACATCATTGACGCCAAGCCATTGTTGTACTAAATTAAAGATTGTTTTTATAGACTATGTAAATTATACGGTGGAAAAGTACTTATTGTAATATAAGCTACAAAATGTTCCTAGAGTATGCCTACTTAAGGCTGATATGGCTGCTGTATCTGATGAGCATTCCTGCAGCTCTACCCTTTTCATAGCATGATGCTCAATTGAATGTTCCAGCTGATTGGGCTTTCTCGTTAGTTACAAATGTTAGACACCACTTGGTTTCTCGGGAGTTATAGCTCTGGTTGGCGTACTATTAGTAGATTTTGTGCAAAGATGCTGACGTTTGAATTGTTGAGCGAAATTGATTCCATCTTCCGTGTGCTAATGAAGTCTTTTTCTGGACTTCACTGAGCAATCTTTTTCGTGCTTGAGAATTTTTGTGAACTGGCTGGCCATAGCATCACATAATGGTTTGGTGCGTCGGGTCAAATTGGTACTCGCGTCTTTGCCAAAGGAACAAATATTCAAGGCTGTCTTGTAGATATCCTGGATAGTCAGGTCGTCGTACAGTAAACTCTCGATTATGGAATACCTATCGGGAGCACGAATGGCATTCCATAATCAGGGATATTCCGTAATAAAGCTTATACGTCAACAATCCAGGTGGAGGTCCTTCAAAAACGATATTTCAATATCGCGGATATTCCGTATTGCTGTATTCCGTAATCGAGAGTCTACTATATTCATCAAGCGTCATTACGTTCTTCTCTTGAAGGATAAGAACATATGCAAATGCAGTCATCGGATCAATCGGTGAGCTGTCAATGTGTTTGGCAATGGAACCCGCAGTGTATACTTGAACTTGCTTCGTCCATGGCTGGCAAGAATACGTGTAAAATGGATTGCTGTCCGATTTGTCAAATGCAAAATTACGAAACTCCTTTCTCAAGAAACCATCAATGCTGATCATTACTAACAAAGGCAATACCTTGACATCATCAAAGACGTTCAAGCAGTACCGAATGGCCCGAGCGACAAATGCATGAATCTCGCAATAAATTCTGGGAAACACTACATGCACCAGAAGCTAGACTTAGACTTAGACTAATTCTACGGGCGCTATCTCCACCCATTACCTATAATGCTTTCCAACAAAACCTTTGAACGCGTGGTGCCACACTAAACACGACTTTATAAAGTCGCCATCTTGTTTTGTTTCTTTTCAAGAAATAAAAAAGAAATGTTGTAATTTATTAATTTATTCTAATTTTATGTTGTCAGTTGATAAAAAAAGACTACATAAGATAGATTTGTATCTGCACTATTTAGCCTATTTTCTAGTGCACGTAGTGTTGACCATAAAAAAAATACGGGTTTACGGCACAAATCACTTTTTGCCCCAAGCAAGCGCCATCATTCCATCCATGTGAAGCGGCACTCAAGCTTCTCATTCATTAGAAAGACTAAATCATGAGAAACAAAACGGAATACGGTCTTTGGTAAAAAACACGTTTTCTTTCATTGGTTTAAGTGATATGACGCACGAGTTCTCTTTTTGTAACGGAGTTTCATCTTACGCCCACATATATTCGCATTCATACACACGCTATTATTCTTTTTACATCTACATAATTAACAATAAGCAAAAATGGTGAATAACTATTATTAAATGTTTATCTTCTCTTTTCATTCTAACATGTTCCTATTAAGGATGTTGAATACGATGTTATTGTCTTGGGCACCGGTTTAACCGAATGCATCTTGTCTGGTCTTTTATCTGTTGATGGAAAGAAGGTACTTCATATGGACCGCAATGACTATTATGGTGCTGAATCAGCATCATTGAACTTGACTCAAGTAAGATGATACACAATTAAACATTTTACAAAATATTGACTATTTATAAGTTTTACAGTAAATTTAGACCTGGGGAAAGTGTGCCAGACCATCTCGGTCGTGATCGTGATTGGAACATTGACTTGATTCCTAAATTTATGATGGCCAATGGTGAAATCGTTCGTTTCTTGACTCATACAGATGTTACTCGCTACTTGGAATTCAAGCAAATCGCGGGTTCTTATGTTTACAGTGGCAAGAAGGTTAGCAAGGTTCCTGCTAACGCCAGTGAAGCTCTTTCTTCTCCTCTTATGGGCATTCTTGAAAAGCGTCGTATGAGAAGCTTTATGCTCTGGGTTGAGGCTTACAAGGATGAAGACCCCAAGACTCACCAAAACATCGATATCAACACAATGACCATGACTGACGTGTATAACAAGTTTGGCTTGGCAAAGGGTACTCAAGAATTCATTGGTCATGCTATGGCTCTTCATCTTGACGACACTTACCTCACGAATCCTGCACGTGATACAGTTGAAAGGGTTAGACTGTATGCTGCTTCTGTGCTTCGATATGGCAAGAGTCCTTATATTTATCCCCTGTATGGTCTTGGTGATCTGCCTCAAGCATTTGCAAGGTAAATATATATATATATATATATAGTTTCTATTATATGGGGATACTTATCAGTATGACATAGACTCTCAGCTGTCTACGGTGGTACATATATGCTGGACAAGGATGTTAAAGAATTGGTTTATAATGAAAATGGACAAGTCGTTGGTGTAAAGGCTGGCGATGAAGTTGTTCATGCTAAAATGGTCATTTGTGACCCTTCCTATGCACCTTCTAAAGTCAGAAAGGTTGGATCTGTCGTTAGAGCCATCTGTCTTTTGACTCATCCTATTCCAAATACCAATGACAGTGACTCTTGCCAGATTGTTATTCCTCAAAACCAAATTGGACGTAAACACGATATCTATGTTGCTTGTGTTAGTGATGCTCATATGGTCTGTCCAAAGGGTTACTACTTGGCTATTGTATCCACCATTGTGGAAACAAACAATCCTGCTGAAGAAATCAACGAAGGCTTAAAGTTATTAGGACCTATTCAAGACAAGTAAGTGTTGAATGCTTAAATGATAATATGAAACTAAGAAATATTATAGGTTTGTTCATGTATCTCCTTTGGAAGAACCCATTGAAGATGGCACCAAGGATAACGTCTATATCTCACGCTCTTATGATGCTACTTCACACTTTGAGACAGTCTGTGATGACGTTCATGATATCTGGCGTCGTATTACTGGTGGTCCTTTAGTCTTGAAGAAGAGAGAAGCTGATGATGTTAATGCTGCTTAAATAAACGTGTGACTTTTATCTTGAAAAATGTTTATCACTTTTTTTGGTTCTTTCACTTTTTTTTTCTCCTTCTTTTTTTAAAACGCAATAAAAAGTACATGGTAGCTTTAAACGATAATTGGCTTGATCATCTTGTGAAGCATCCTATCTTCCAATTGGAAGAAAAAGATATACAACGCGTAGAATACAGCAAAATGAAGCACAGCACTACAAACAATGATGTCACCGACTTCATTCTTCAACACCACACTCGTGTAATGACTATGCGCGATAATGATTTGTTTGTTGCTGTTGATTCACATATCAGAGTACTCAACTTGGTGGAATTCAAAGATGCCTGGATCGCAGCAACAAAGAAAGCAATTGAAAGTAATGCTGAATTATCAAGCAACTGGTTTAGCTCTGTTCCTTTCAAGGTAAAAAAAAAAAAATAAATAAATAAACAAGTGAATTCATATTTCGATAGTTATTGGACACGCCAGAGATCAACTTTACGATTGTCTCTTTAGCTTCTAATACGAATGGTCGTCTTTTATCAGTTACAGGCGAATCTTCTTTAGTCATTGTTTGTTTACCGCGCCACAGTTTCAGCGCCATCAGTTTGACCAAGCAAAAGGTGGATTGTCGTACTTTGACGGTTGGAAGAAAGTATTACAAGAAGAATCAAGCAGAGATTCTTAAAGTCGAGTGGCACCCTCTAAGTGAGACACATACTCACATTGTTGCACTCAGTTCTGATAACATCTTGAGGTAAATCATCAAGTAGGTTTGTTTATTTGTAACTAATAGATAACTTTTTTTTTTTATAAATAGAATATTTGATGCCAGTGCTGATATTGATGAGCCTGAGCAAACTTTTGATTTATCACCTGTCGAAAAGAGTCCATCGAGATCAGCCACTCCTGGCAGAGGATTTACCTTTGAAGATGATGATGTGAATGGATATGAAGATGCTGTTACTTTTTCATTAGGCGGCAAAAGTCACGAACAGAGCGGTTGGGAACCCTTTTCGATCTTTTATGCTCTGCGTAGTGGTCATATGTATGCCCTTTGCCCTGTGGTTCCATTTAGAAGGTAAAGATGATACAATGTATATAGCTTTAGAATGAAAAGATAACACATTTATTTGACTAGTATCATTCACAAGAAGCACTTGGATAATCTGACGAGCCTAACTGAGGCTAAATATCAAAAGGCTAAATCGGACGACTCAAAAGATCGCCAGTTGATGTCACTTCTTTTCAAGCTTCAAAGACAATGGTTAAAACATCTTTCTGACTCATCCAAAGTTGGTCGTAAGACAAACTTGTTGAATAGCGACATGATCAGTGTTGTCAGCAATGACATGTCTATCAAGTTTGACGTTAAGCGTCAAGGTCCATTCTTAGTGAATCAAGAGAATGCCGTTTCCACTAGTGCTCAGGTGACAGATATTCTTTATATTTATGATAAGCCAGTCTCTATCCTCGCTTTAGCCTTGTCAAATAGTCAAGTCAAGAACCACGTTTTGCTTAGTGAGATTGATCCTCAATGGCAAATTCCTACAGCAAATACCAAAGAAGAATGGCACAAGGAATTGGGAACTTTATTGGCTGATCGTGATTTCTTACCCAAAGCTATGCTCTATGAATCATTTGATCTCAAAACCAAGAGCTTACCTCCTACTGACTCCTTACGACTTCTCAGTGACCCAATTTATCCAGATACATACTACATCTATCACACTGGAGGCGTAACTGCCATTGGAATGAGTAAATGGTTAGAAGCATACAAGAATATGCTTAAAAAGATAGAGGATGAACAAGACTACGCTCTGACTGCTCTCAAGCGTCTATTGAGCGAAAAGACACAATCAGACGTCCGATATTTGATCAACACTGCACCCTTTTCAAATGCGTTTACACCTATTATTGGATTATTTGTTATTGTCGATCTCTACCTTTCATACACGCTCGTTGCAGTGACAGACGAGTATAAACTAGTTTACAGAGACCTAAATATGCGCAGCGATCCTGAACAAGACAAGGCTTACCAGGCTGCCACTAAAAATCAGCTTAAATATATTGCCAGTACAGATAACAGTCCTGCCTATGAACCTCTACTGCCCTTGCCTATTTTTGAAAAGCCAAAACAACTTGACAACCTGCCTACACAATCCAAGATTGCTATTCCCAAAGCTTTAGCTGATTCTAAGGAGATCGTGATCAATGAAGAGACACTTCGATTCTTTAGTAAATCCGCAGAACAAGTGCGTCGCGAAACACGCGATATTCGCAAAGCAGCTGCAAAGATAGAAGAAAGGTAACGGATAAAACAAGGCAAGATAAAAATAAAAATAAATACTAATGTACTTGATACAGAATAACGCTACAGCAAAAGGAGTTTGAGAAACAAGTGGAAACTGTAAGAGAATTAAATAGTCGACTTGAAAAATATTGTTCTCCTCAGTCAAAGAAGGCTCAAAAGCAAGCAATAGAAGAGATATCTCAACGTCACCAAAGACTAAGATTACGCATGGATGAACAATTACGACAGATCATTAATCAATGTCAACCTGGTTTATCAAATGAAGAAAACAAATGGATTGAAAAATTACAGGAACTTTCTGGCAAGATATCAGGAGTCTCTGGATACGCGTCTCGTATTGAACTGGTAAAGAAAAACGAGAGAAAATAGAATAAGGACTTATTTTTTTTTTAGCTGAAGAAACAATTGGATCAATTAAAGACACAAACAAAGAAGGAACAAAAATTCAATCCTACAAACATGTCTAATGATCAACTCAAGAATCTTTTGGATGTACTCAGAGGACAGTAAGTAGCATCCATTGTGAAGCGATATACGTCATTAACACATTGTTATGTAGATCCAAGTCTATTGATGAGGCTAAAACCAGAGTTGAAAACATGGAAAGTAAAATCATGACAACAGCTTCTTCATAAGTCATTTTTTAAAAAAGAAAAAAGCAGTGGAATAAAAAAAGAATGCATTTAATGTAACTTTTTTTTAAAAAAAAAAAAGAGAAGGGGGGTATAAGTCTATATAAATGCTCTATGTACAGTGAGAAGGAAGTTAATTTGGGTTCGCACTTGATGTCGCCTTCCTTTTCTTGATGTCAGATATATCATCTTTACTAATGCGGGTAATAGAATCATCCATGTTATCTTCAAACACGGTCGGATCAGGCTGTAGGCTTCTACCTGGTCCATGGAACCAATATCTTGCACGGAAATGGTAGTAACTAAGTGAGCATACCATGACAAAGACAAAAATAACCGAAGCATAATTCATATTTGCTACAAGACTCCGTTATTATCAGACATTATTACCACTATTGTTCATATTACCTGCGGTGACTGGATATTCTGTTGGACAGACAAACAAGGCTGATGTGAAAAGAATCCAAAAACAGCTCAAGAAATTGATGATATCCGAAAACGGGCCCAGGTGAAATGGCCCCCTCTTGAAACTTTTACGAGCCACGGTGAGTCGAAGGAAGATGGGGATAAAGTAAGCAAGAGACGAAGCGATTGTGTTGATCGAGACGATGGCATTAAAGGCTGTTGTGTTGACAATATAGAGCACACCAATGATGCAAGCAAAGAGAATGTTTGCCCAGACAGCATAGATGGGTGTCTGCGTCGTCTTGTGAATCACGCTCAACCAACGACTCCAGGGTGTGGCACCGTCACGAGCGAAGGCGTAGACCATTCTCGAGCTACCTAGAGTGAGCGCAGAGCCAGAAAAGAACATGGCGCCCATGATAATCACGGTGAACACGACGGTCCAGCTGTAGCCAACGCCGTCCAAAAAGACTTGAGTCATTTGTGGGCTCAGTTCAGTATTCACGATCTGTCGCTCAAAGTCTTGGACGCAGAAATTGACAGAGAGCATAAAGACGAAGCCGGTTATGGCGGCTGTTCCTATCGCGTACAAGATGCCTCGAGGTGCAGATCGAGCAGCGTCGCGTGTCTCTTCTGACATATGTGCTGCACTGTCAAATCCAGAAAGCGTATACTGGGATTGTAAGAGACCGATCAAAAAGGCAAAAGAGTTTGAGGAGAATCCAGTGTCGTTTTCAAAATAGGTAAATACCCACTTGGCGCTTGGTTTGTTGGGCGTCAAAGCTAGCGCGACAATGATGATCAAGAGGGTGCCAGCAAGGTGCCAATAAAGTGAAGCTTGATTGAAGAATCCGTTGTACTTGACGTGCATTGAGTTGATGATACCGTGAATCACTGCGATCACAAGAAAGATGCCGTACTGCCAATAGATACCAGCATTGTATTCTGGGTTGCTGATGCCAATGATGGATGACATAAATTGAGCAAGACCCAAATCGGCTGACGTGATGGCTACTGTCAGACCGAGCCAGTTGCACCAACCGGTTATCCAACACATCACGGGAACCCACTCGGGAGGAGCTAGGCGGGAGACCCAAATGTAAAGACCGCCAGTGATAGGATAAGCAGAGCAGATTTCTGCGAGCGAGAGACCTACACCAAAGGTAAAGGCAGATACTAAGATCCAACCCCAGATGATAGCGATGGATCCACCAGACATCATGGCATCACCCCACATCTAAAAAAACAGTATTAGAGAAACAGATAAAATACCACACACAAGCATACGTTACAGGCGTAAGACCAGAAAGGATAGAGCAGCATCCAAAGGCAATTGAGAAATTGGATATAGTCGACATCGTCTTGTTCATTTCCTTTTTATAAACGATGTTATTGTCATGTAGACAAAAACAAGACAAGATCTGTGTACCTGCTTGTAGCCAAAAGAGGCAAGTATTTCGTCTTCTGTTGCATACTGAGGTGCATTGATCGTTTCATCGTAATCATTATTACTAACCATTAAATGTGATCCTCTTCTATTCTTTATTTTTAGAGGCTCTGTTCTCTATTGACAAAAGAGAAAAAAAAAAAAGCTTTTTTTCCTTTGCAGAAAATTTTTTCTCTTTTGCTTGGATCCAAATGCTGATTCAGAATTATTTTGAATAAGCGAAGTAGCCAAAAAAAAAAAAGAGCCCTTGGATCCTAGACGTCTGTTTTTTGTCACCAGTTTAAAGGTCGGTTAAATAAAAGGCTTAACTCTGTTATTCATCTAAATAAAATATAGAAAGTTTCTTCTTTTAGAATGATGAAATAAAGTGTAAGACAGATTTCGTTTGTGTTTTGTCTGAAATGATGTAAAATCCGATACTATTTTTCTTTATAGAAAATATAAAAAAGTGTTGATGCACAACATGCTTAAATGTTCGATATTTGTACATCATTTCTTCTTTTCTTTATCAAATATTATCAATCGAATAACTATCAGCTTCTCCCATGGTATGCATTTTGCAAAATAATTGCCTTGGTCTGATTCATCTTGAGGTGCATAACCCAGTGTATGTGTTATTAGTCCATTCTATGAAAAGCTGAGAGCTTACCAGAGATCGATAAATATCAAAAGGGAAAAGATAAGATAGCCATAAAAGAATTATCCATGTCTTTAAGTAGAATGCAATAGTGATCCAAACATGCTTTCACTAGTAGGCCCCTTGTCAATAAAGTAGTCAAAGTTTCCCCAAGCCTAAGCATTTTAATACCCATTTTGAATGTCGCAAAAATGAGATTAATTAATTAACCATAAAATAAATAGTTGATATGCTTCAAATAGCCGTTGGCTACATGATATCAAGACGGACGACACTACAATGCGGCTCTTTAAAGAAAGCAGTTGAGCATATTTAATTACAATTGTGTTGCACAAATCTTGCATAAACAAATAGTCTATCCTTTAAAGCCCCTCCTCAAACAAGATCAAGTGCACATAAATAAACTATGAATGACCCCAGTCCTATATGACGTGACTATTTATGCCATGGATCATATGCATAGCGTTCCTTGATAAGGAGGAAGAAGAAGAGAACTAGGCCATTTATACCAAACATGACATCATGTTCAGTAAATTACGTATTCTAATTCCGCTTCACAATCACCACAGCAGTGATATCAACAGAAGACTTATCATGCTGTGGTATAAAAGGATGTCATTGCTTGTTATTTTGTTCTTCTTTTCTGTTTCTCGTATTATTTAAAAAGTATATCGGTAATTTTGCCGTGGGTGAAATAAGGATCAGTCGTGGGAAACTTATATTTGACGTATCTGCGCCCCTATTTTCTATTTGTTTTCTTTTCTTTCTCTTTCTCTCTCTTTTATCTATTTGTTTATCATGTTGGACGTAGACGAACTCCGTAAGAAGAATAAGTTGACTAATAAGAGATCAAGTCACTAATGAATATAATAGCTGAAAAGCCTAATGTAAACACATTCAATAGCGTGTTGGCTGGTTTGATTGGAGGTAATAGATATCTCTATTACCTTTATATACTTAATCTAATACTTGATCTCCCTCATAGGCTTAGCTGGATTAGCTGTTGGTCATCCTTTTGGTAGGTTATAATTTATAGTCGTTTATATATTTCCAACTCATATCATTTTTAGACACAGGTTTATTTTACAACAATCAACATGTTGTTGTTGTACATACTCACGCCTATTTTTAGTCAAAGTTAGACTTCAGTCAAGAGAACTTTCTTCAAGATATAAGGGCACTTTCAACTGCTTTGTAAGCACCATTAAACAAGAAAAGGTAACTCGATTATAGTCACCATGTATTGTTCTAATCATTGGCCTATCTTTAGTTTATTGGATTATATAAAGGAATGGTAAAATAGAATTATCCCCTCGGGAATGAATCACACACTTATACTCTTCATAGGCTTCTCCTGCAGTAAGAGAAACAATGAGTTGATCAAATATGAAATTGTACATCGACTCATCTTTTCTCTCTCTCTCTCTCTTATAGGTTGGCGTGGGAGCTATTAATGCTCTAGTCTTTGGTTCATATACTTACTTGATGCAACTTCAAGCACAATCTCAGGGCATCTCATATGATGAAACAGCACAAAATGCCCCACTGCATCATGTATTTCTTGCCGGTATGGGATCAGGCGTGATTTCAAGGTAGTTTATTTTATTTTTTGGGATGAATGATTCCAAAAACTGATCTCCAGCCTCTTATAGTTTTGTCACTTGTCCTATGGAGCTTGCCAAAGTACAGCTACAAAACCAAACGACAAATACCACAGCTGTAAAAGGACCACTCGATTGCTTACACAAAATGTATCTTACAGGTGGATTAAGATACTGCTTCAAAGGCATGGTTCCCACGATGCTTCGTGAGCTAAGCTTTGGACCCTATTTTTTGACATATGAAATAGTCACAAGGTCCTTAGCCAAACCAAATCAAGAACTCTCAGGACCGAGGGTTGTCTTGGCTGGTGGTGTAGCTGGCATTGCAGCTTGGTGCTCTACTTATTTCGCAGGTTAGTTATCTTACTAATTTCGTTTCACGTCAAATGTAACCTTCAATAGATGTGGTAAAGACGAGAATCCAATCGGAACCTCACAGATATAAAGGATTTATTGATTGCATGAAATGTTCATATTATGAAGAAGGATGGAGAATATTCTTTAAAGGCCTTACACCCACTATCCTTAGAGCATTTCCTTCAAATGCTGCAACATTTGCTGCATACACATGGACGATGAACTTATTCTTGTCCAAAGAGACAATCACTAGAAGAACTTACGAAGAAGCTATACTCTAAGTTGAAGCATACCCTTTTTGTTACTTTATTTCAACTTAAACTCTAGAGTTTCACTATTGTTTTGCTTGCTTGTTTACAAGTGTATTTATTTTTTCTCTCGAAAAGCTAAAAACTCTTGAATGCTATTGGCTACCAGGTTATGATCATCCTAATATAGTAAATAAATGTGTTATTTTTGGCTTGACAACATAAACATTGACACTGGTTACCTCTTGAGCAAGACCGGATACAGTGATTGTACCAACGACACCAACATTCTTTATAGTCAATGGGAATGAACCACCGTGAGTGGCATAATCCTTTTCATCCACCTAATTTACATGTTAGTCTAATATAAACAACAACAATAAACATACAAAGTATTTTTCTTCCAAGGTTTTGCCTTGATTTGCCAAATGACGGCCCACATAGTAGCTGGAATGGTTGAATCGATTGACCGTGTTACTGAATAATATATGTTAGTATAAACTTTTTTTTTTACTAGATATGGTTCATACCTCTTACGTCTGACCCATTCATCATTGTCTTTGTTTGTACCCTGCATGGCATAATGAAAGAGCTGATGTCCATTTAAAGTGATGTCAACCACAACAGGTCTCTTGAATGGTTTAGCATTTTCGATAAGCAAAAGGCCTAAATCAAGCGCGTCTTGAGACGTGAATGAATCAAATTGACACTTTTCTTCTTGTAAGAGAATAATCTCGAGGAGTTCCTTTAGAGGAGTTGTCATGTTATGATAATAAAAAACAAAAAGAAGAGAAAAAAAAAAAATGGGAAAAACTGGGAAAAAGGCTAGCTTATAAATTATACAATAATCGCAAAAGTGACTTTGGCCAATGAAAGCTTGGTACTGATCACTTTCTTACTCCGTCCGTTTAGCTGCAAGGTTGTTATTTTCAACAAAAGGGTATGGATCGTCAAGATGTCATTTCAATGTAGATAGATGTTTATATATATATTTGCTGTGTTTCATCAATCATCTGAAGCAGATTAGATTTGGTTCTTATTTTGATGCGCGTAAATCCAATGCTTTACTAAAGAACACCGTACAGAAGAAAGGCTTTATTGGGGTCAAACAGCGCGTGTCATATAGACGATGGATAGAGGATCATTTGGTTTCAGTAAAGGTAGTGTTTAAGAATTGTGTTTAAGAGAGGAGTTTCTAGGACAGGATTGTTATCTTTTTTCTGTAGGGCAATCATCCATGGTCCTGCTCGATCTATGGTATCAATGCTTTAATAATTTGGTGACTTGACAAAGAAAGGCATCTGTATATTACATGATTGAATGGCGGCAAGATCTCCTGACAGTATAGATGCATTAAAAAAGAATGTACCCAATAATACTAAAAATGAATCAATGTATGGTATTCCATATAGACTTTTAACAACAATAACCCATTGTTGTCAATGATTATGAGACTATTTATTTTTTACTGACTGTACTCGACGAAATAGACACTGAAATCATATTGACATAAATTGAATAGGCTTTTTTTTTCTTTTTTTTTCATGCCTTTAAAAATGTCCGCAAACAGAAACCTTCTTTTTTTTTTGATTTACTTCTTTTTTAATTCAATTATGGATAACGATAATAGTAATAATAATAATAATAGCTTTGTTAGAGTTGTGTCATTCGACACAATGACGAATAAGGACTTACCCGACTACTCATATACATTAAGAGCAAAATCTCCAGGCTATAAACGATCAAGACGTTCTCGTACATTTATGGTAGCGACAGATTTAGCAAACTATAGCGAATATGCTCTCAACTGGGCAAAGGATGTAGGTTATTTATTGGATTTTATTCATTGAAATAGTAATCATTTATTTCACTTAGGCTGTTTTAGAAGATGGAGATGAACTCATTGTTTTACGAGTTGTTACATTAGAAATGAACAGTGCGTGTGACATGTCATGCATGGCTGCATACGAATAATTGATTTATCATTATTATAGATAAAAGAGGAGATGATTTGCTACAACTTGAAGAACAAGAATCAAAAAGGATATCAACAGAGATAATGCAAAGGATTATAGATGACAGCCATAAACAAGATAAAAAAGTACAATGAATCATTTTATTTATACAAATATACTAACTAGAGACTAGGTTAGTGTCGTTGTGGAATTCGTGATAGGAAAAGTTCAAGAGACGATACAGCGAATGATTGCACTTTATCAACCTTCATTGCTTATCGTTGGTACAAGAGGACTTTCAGAATTCAAAGGCATGTTGCTAGGTAGCATATCAAAATATTGCTTACAACATTCACCTGTTCCAGTCACAGTGGTTCGTTCAGAAAATCAGATAAGGAAATCGTCATTTGATTCGGTATACAATAATAACGGCAGAAAGAGAAGCTCAGCCATTTGGTAAATATGCGTTGTGTAACTGATTCTATTCAAATAAATATGTTCTGGTTTTATTTATTTCTTTTTACTTGTAATTGCTACTAATGACTTACCTGATCACGCTTTTATTCTTTATAATAACAACTACAGTGTTGGCCATTCATGTAGACAATCGTCGTATTGTAGCCATGGGAGATCTTCACGGCGATCTAGCAAATACACTCTCTATCTTGAAGTTTTCAAAAATCATCGATGACGACCAACGTTGGATAGCAGGCAACACGATCCTAGTACAAACTGTAAGATTATTATATTTACAAATTAATCATTGTTGACTTTTATATATATATAAAGGGTGATGTTGTTGACCGTGGGTTAGATACAATTAAGCTTTATCAATTACTGCAAAAGCTGCGAGAGGAAGCGCCACTCTCGGGTGGACTTGTTATTCCTTTGCTGGGTAATCATGAAATAATGAATCTAATTGGAGACTGGCGTTATGTATATCCTGGAGAACCGGAGACATTTGGTGGTATGGAAGCTCGTAAGCGTGCCTTTGCTCCAGATGGGTTTATCGGAAGCTATTTGGTCCCGTTAGATATGACCACCAAGGTCGGTTCAACCGTCTTTTGTCACGGTGGTATTCATCCTTACTATGCAAAGTTCGGCATCGACTGGATCAATAACCAGACACATGAGAGTATGTTGACGTTTATGGAATCTCATGGGCACAAAGGCGATGAATTTGGTGTATTTGGAGGATATGGGCCCACATGGTATAGAGGATATGCTGCAGATGATGAAGATATCATCTGTGAGTTACTAGAGGAAGCCTTGGAGTCAATGGAGGCTAATCGAATGGTGGTTGGGCACACTGTTCAGCACGATGGCAAGATTCATACTCGCTGTGGAGGAAGAGTGGTTTTGATTGATATTGGTATCTCAACTGTTTATGGAGGTAATAAAGGCGCGTTAGAAATCATGGGTGATCAAGTTACTGCTCTGTATGAATACAAGAACGAGACCCTATCATCTCCTCCTCCCTATAAGCCCAAGAAGAGTGATGAGCATCAAAAACCAACTTTAGTACATCAAGAGCTATGACGCCAAGATCATATAGAATTAGACTAGTCCATATTTGCTTTCTACATGAAGCAAGACTTTTGAATAAATGTTGAGTCAATACAATTTATTTATTATTAAAAAATATATCTTCAAAAGAGGACGGAGCGGGCTGTTTGCTGTTATCCTTAGCAGTAGTTGAAGGAGCGCTTCCAAAGATATCATCTAAAGCGGTTGAAGTTGAAGCAGTTGGTGCAGGTGTGCTGCTACTTATTGTAGGGCTTCCAAAGATGGAACTCAATTCATCCTTTACTGACATTCCTCCAAATAGATTGCTGTTGGATGCCGTCGAGGGAGGCTCAAATACCGACAGATCAAAGTTGTATTTTGATTCCTTTTTGGGCTTATTCTCTAAAGCAGGCTCGCTTTTTATTGAAGCAATAGGCTCTTCTTCTTTTGGCGGTGGTGGTATCGGTTGAGACGCGGTGGATGGGCTCGTAGGCGCCTGTGAACTGACGGCAGCAAAGCTTTGCTCCATTGTGCTCAAATCAGGAAATTTTGATTCTATCTCGCTAATATCTACTGTAGCTGATGTACTTCTCTTCAACTCACTTTCCTCCTTTAGCTTGTTCAGAGTAACAGGAGTTCCTGTTGTAGATTGACTAATGCTCTGACTCGCTTTAAAGCCTGCAAATGGATCAAAGGCTTTTTGAGTCGATGCAGCAGGCATGCTATGTGTGGACTTGGGTGAAGATGCAGAAACAGAGGAACGGTCGTCGTGAACTTTTGCGAATAATCCTCCCGTTGAAGACAGGGCAAATACGTCCTCTGGACGACTTATGCTGGGGCTTGACATTGAATTAGGAAGACGTGGTGATGATACTGCTGATTTCTCCTTCTCCAACTCATCAATCTCTCTTTTAACCTGCTTCAGTTCCTCCTGTGCATTCTCTGCTCTCGACTTGAAATGCTTTGTCTCATGTCGATACATCTGCAGTTCTTCCTTTAGCTTTTCCTTTTTCTTCTTTTCCGCTTCTAATTGCTTCTCAGCTTCATCCGCCAGATGCTTCATTTTTTCTAGTTCATCCTTTTGTTGTTGTATCTGCTTTTGAAGTTCTTCAATGGCTCTTGTCTCCGCTTCTAACTGAGAATGCGCTTGTTGAGATCGTGTTGTTTCACTTGACAGATTGGACTGAAGAACGGATTGAGTACGTGATAGCTCAGTAATTTGTTGATGATGCTGTGGCTGTGGTTTAGGTGTTGGCTGAAACGTAGCAGGTGAAAATGTCTCGTCAAAATCAGATGATAGACCCAATAAATCAACCGCAGGCTGTTTTCCTGTTTGTTGTGGTTGCTGATGCTCTATATGTCCTAAAAGATGACTTTAATCCTTTTTTTGTTCATTACCATTATATATATCTAACCAGTTCTTAATGTAGGCAGTGAGCTTGGAATTTCGCCTCCTGCAATTCTTCTGTTGATCATATGCATAGCCATTGCAAACTCTCGCTCTGTTAGTTGACCAGTTGAATTTGTATCTGCTACATCCCAAATCCGAGCAAGATCGGACTCTGGTAACTTTGAATGTCTAAAGAACACGACAGCATCAGGACCCGACACAAAGCCTGTGCCATTGGATAGCTGATCAAAGAAAGTTTTATATCTTGCATACTCCTCTGGTGCTATTTCCACATTACCCAAAGTAGATCCTTTGAACACTGGGGACTGAATGGGCGCCTTGTTGACTTGTAAAGTATTTTGTCTAACAAGAGGTGAAGAAATAGCACGACCAATTGCTGAGGCATAGATACCTGCAGGCAATGTGGGAGGTAGTGGTGCTGACTCTTTCATGGTGCGTTCAATATAATGCATAGCAATGATAAACTCTGTCTGGTTGAGTGTACCCGATTTTCTAGTGTTTGCCAAATCCCAAATAGATTGTAATTTAGCAGGAGGAAGACCGGATCTGATAAAAACGTTTTTAGCTACTTCGCCTAATATTTGCCAATAAGCAGCTAAATTAATGTGCCCTTTGTTGCAATTTTACCGTTCAAGATACCATCAACAGGGCCCAGAGATTGAAATAGACTGATATACTTTGTTCTTTCTTCTGGAGTGATCACATCTGCCGTGGTATGTCTTGGTGGTTGTCTTGAGGAGTTACCGTCACCATTAAACTGTGGAAGAGGGACTACAGTACTGTTACTTCACCGCCGTTATATTTATTCTTTACGTTACCTGAAGTAGCTAATATAGGGTCACCTGTCATGACACCATGCTGAGCACATGCAATTAGTTTTAGAATGATACAAAATTCAGTGTCTGTAAGGAATCCCTTCTTGTCATTATCAGCTGCTTCCCAAAGCTTGTGTAGAGTATAAATAAAGCGGTAAAATCATATCTCATATTTTCAAACCTGGTTTAATATATTTTGAGGAATATCTGACTTTCTTAAAAAGTTCATTGCTTCTTCTTGAAGGACGATGCCTTTGCTATCTGAATCTACTTTTTTAAAGTAATTTAGGTATACTTGCTTCTCTTGCGCCGTTAAAAGCGCAAGTGAGTTTTCTATTCATGATATCAGTAAACATGCTATTATTATAATACTTTATTACCATTCATTATTTAGAAATAGAGAGAATAGGGGAAAAAACAAGAACAAAATGCAGTTTCCATCGCCTTTTCAATTTTCACTTGTCCCATTTCCATTTATGACAAGTTGCATAATGGATTCTTTTGAACGCGTCTATTGTAGCTGGTTTCTTATATAAATTTGAACTAGAGCGCTACTGTCCCGAAAAAAAGACCAATAATACTTGTTGGAAAAGCATATGACTTTTGTAGTAAACAGGCAAGCATTGTTGCAATTGTAATACGCTAATAGTCGACACAATGACCAGATTGCAATAAATAATACGGCTTGTTTGTGCTATAAGATACCAAATAAACAAAGCTGCATAGCAGAGTAGCGCAATAACAACCTTATGTTCCCCTCCGAGTTTATTTATCGTATAAATATAAATAAATGAGCCCTTTTAATAATATTTTATTTTCTTTACTATTTCATTTGTTCTTTACAGGGTTTCCTCAGTATGATCTAGTAAGAGCTTATAAGAAAGCATATGCTTGATAATATAACTGAGCATTATTAAAAAAAGGCAGTCTTTATATCAAGATTCCTTCGTTGCTCGCTTGAAGAAGAGCTGTCAAAACTGTGGCAAACTTGTTGTAGAACTCGATCATTCTTTAACAGTAAACGCAATGAAGCAAATAACTAAATCATGCTTAAAATACGGGATCGTTATCATAATCGAAGTAAGCTCTCAAAAGGCAACCTTCGGTAGCATTATTGCACGTTATAAAAATGAGGAAAAACAAGTGAACATAAAGAAAAACGAATCATTCCAGCCAAAAGAAGTAACACAGTCTCCATTCAAGTACTGCTGGATATGAAAAAGAGAATGCGCTTCTTCTTGAATGAAACACACAAGCTTTTGATGAATGGCATCTCTGAATATGCTGTTGAAGAAACTAATTTGACCAAATTTGCTGCAAAGATGAAGCAATACATAGCACATAACGAGGGTTTTACGAAGATTGATGTCGATGGCTTCTCTCCTTCGAAAATATCAAGACAATCGATCGAACAAGATGTACAGAATGTAGCAGAGCAGCCGCTTGGCATCCTGATCAAGTTTGAGCAATATTAGGTATACATCACTAGTAGTGATATGTTCGTTCACAATCATATAGCATTTGATGATTGCGCATATGGAATTAACTTTTCCGAATTTCATTCCAGTTCTTTAGCAACAATAAGAATAAGAGCGTGCATGGGTGCTTCATCGTACTATGAACTTTCTATCCATTGAGGGCTCTATGAGCTCCTTGTTGTTGGTTGTTTATATACGGATTGCAGAGGTGAAACTGTGCATGTATCGTTGAAATCGTCACTGAATTGCTGGAAAGATGGCGCAATGGCCACCAGTTGTCGTATTTCTACGTTTATGTTAAAGAATCTTACATCTTTTGTCGTCAACTAAACAATACATTTCGTACATAAGCCAAAGTCATCTTTTCTGTTCGGTATTAACGTGATACCTCTTATTAAGCCCACACACTAATTCATGGCATCTTTAGTCTGTAATATTTGATAACGTATCATAGCTTATATGCAAATGGTTGACAACATTTATTCTTGCAAACAAAGGGTCAATTTCTTTTTTTTTTCATGAATCTCTTTCTTTTCTTTGTTCATAAATGATCACAAAGAGCTTTATTCTATCTGCCTGAATTATTATGCTTTTGACGCAAACTTTTTGCTCGACAATATCACATCACCATACGTCTTTCGATCAGCGAAGCAAAAGGCCATTTTAACGCAAAGGCGTTTGAATAACTACCTTTAGACCTAATTGTAGAGAAGAACAAAATTGGAGAAGCAGATATTCAAACAAGATATTATGAACCCTTTGTTATCGGGAATGTTAGCTGACATTATAAAGAAAGTTATTTCGAAGTGGCTAAATAAAATGGATGAAACAGCACCAGAAATACGACCTGATGCAATCATATCAACATTAATATAATTGAAATTTGGAAGACAACTTGGATATGGTGAAGTCAAACCAGGCGATGATAGTACCACCACACACTCACTTTGCTTAGACACTCTGAAGCTGGCTATATTATCAAGAAATACTTGTTTAAAAAATGCACACCCTATTTTCACCTTCCAAGTCAACGGTTTTTGCACCTGGTTTTTTATATGACACAGAGAATTCGTCACCGTTTCTACACCATGATCGAGACTGGTCGTGTCAAAATTCCAGATTCTTTATCATCAATCTAGTTGTTTGTTACTCTGAAAAACTTTCAGATATTGTTACGAGCCGCCCAGATATTTTGGTATTCCTGCTACATGGTTTTACGCTAAAATTAGACGATGTTAATTTTTCTTCTGGACGTATTTGGAATAAATTGTAGACAACAT